ATGTTACTACCCAAAATTCATTACAATATGGATGTGACGTAGGTTTTTTTCAACTGCCGACTAAAAAAAACAAAACTTATGAATGTGTAAAATAGTTATGGATAGTTATTAAAACTTGAAACTACTTAAACTGTGTGGGCCAGAAACAATATCAACCACATCATGATATAGAAATGTTTAGATTAATAACAATAATGCATTTTATTTACAGGTGCCTTTCAAAGCTCTCAAGTACACCTTCCAAGATACAGTAAAAAAAAAAAAAGCAGATATGTGTCCATAGACTATAAAGTCAAATAATTCAGTAATATACAGTAACAAGTTAATAAAATAACTTGACAAAATCATTATACAATTAAGTATAAAATCATCATCATAAAGTCATCATCAGTGCAAGTCTCGATGTGTGTGTCACCATTAAATTAGACTGAATATGCCAGCTTGAAAAGGTGTGTTTTCAGGCGATATGGCAAAAAATGTTATCACGATATATTTTTTTCATATTGATCGATCTCGATTTTTATCACAATATGTAGTTTTTGCTGATTCTGCCAGCTCGGGGAGCATCCTGATTGGAGCTTGAAGAAACAAGAGATTCATTGAAACTTAACAATAAAAGTTTAATAACATAAAACACTAAATAATATGCTTTTCCAATACTGAGAACAAAATGTTTTTACAGGGTATATGCAGGAATCCTGAGGTTAATTTCAATACCTTTTTAAGACTTTTTTAAGACCTTCCAAAAAAACCTTAAGACCTCATCCCCACTTCAGGCTGTCGTTAGCAGCAACACATCTTTAACTTACTAAACAGCTGTAGTTTGCAATTAAATCTATGGAACACAAATATACAACAGAACTCAGATAAGATGAGAAGGAATAAAGCTTGAAAGAATAAATTAAACCAAAGGCAGGTCATAACAAGTAACACAGCTCTACAGCTCAACATCAGCTATTCAAGGCCAACTTGCTGAAAACAACAACCTTATGGCTAGCCCCTTGCATGTGGGATTTAGGGCTGACCCAAAAAATTTGAAGCTTCGAAGCTTCGTTGGATGGCATGGGATTCGATTGAGAAAAAAAAAATCGAATATTCGGCCTTTTTTTCTCCCGTTTTTTTGGGGGGACCTTGAACGCAACACTTATCATGCTGTCCGTTCACGGTTGTTTTTCCCCTTTAGCCACATGTAAACTCAAAGAACGAGAAGCAATGTCAAATAAAAGCTTTAACTTATTGAAACATTGTATATAAACCGCTCTGAATGCTTCTCATATGGAGTAATGGCTGCAAAACACGACTGGATAGACTGTTGTTTTGCTAAGCTGCCGCTAGCAAAGCTAACAGCAGATGAAGGGGTCTTGCTAGGCTGTGTGTGTGGAGTCGGGGCAACTTGAGGCCGCATAGTTAGACTCTCTGTGTAGTCACTGGGATGGTGCCGTCTCAGGTGATTGAAAAGGTCTGTGGTGTTTCCCGACCTGGTTGGTACTAACCGCCGGCATATTTTGCAGACCGGTTTCATCTGCTCCTCGTCACTTTTGAGGTAACTGTTAACGTTATCCAAACCACTTCCACACACCTGACATCGCGTTATCTCTTTTTTTCAACAATATCATCGGTTCCAGATGATATAGTGATGTCACTTTCACGTTCTGCATTATTTTTGCCGTCCTCGACTTCAGAGTCACTCATTTTTTCTCCTTTTTCCCACTTCTCTCTCTATTTACCTCCCGTCACAACTGTAGCCACGCTTACAATGAGAAGTGGGCGTATCCTGCCTGCATGGCATACGGTAGCCGGCAGACTCTGATATGCTGTTGTTGTGCTTACTTTTGCCATATGATATCGATTCAAAACGTCCCATGCTGATAATTGAGATTGATCAAAATTTTATCGCGATCCCGAATTGAAATCGTATGATCGCCCCGCCCTAGTGGAGAGGGATTCAACATTGCGAATTTCATGGGATAGAGAGTTCCAGAGGTGGGGGCAGAACGGTTGAAGGCTCTAGAGCCCACAGAAGTCAACAGGCTGAAAAACAACAATAAAAAGGTCTTGTAATGTAAGTAATATCCAATTTATTTAGTCATTGTCCTGTCCTCCTTACTGACAAACACTTCTGTAGCCTATTTGAATGTGTGTGTATATGTTATATAGAGATATAATTTTTTTTAGTGACAAAAAAAGCTTAGAGGCCTATACATGGGATAAGGACAGATGAGCAGGCAATAATCTATCAACTAGCGTGAGGAATATAACAGCAGTGATCACCATGTACCTGACTGTAGATGCAGGATGTTACTGTACACAGTGTAATGAGTCTGTAAAGATTGTGACAGTCCCACAGTCACACTTTTTACCATTTTTAAAAGTTAGTTTTCTTTTCCCTTCAGATGAGCCTAGCACATGGCATGTACAACAGGAAGGTTTTCAGCATTCTTTGTTCTGTGGAACTCTTACTCCTAAAATAACTGTCCTGGTACATGAGAGTTTAGTAAAATATATACATATATATATATATATATATATACAGTGGAGACACACACAAATGCCCACCCCAATACCAACTTTTACCAACTATTGTGCAACTCATGACTTAAGTACCACACATCTCTACTTCTGACTACAGAACTGAATTATCCCCTACGCTTTAGGTTTAGGCCAATATGTGAGCATCTTCCGCATATTTTAGTTATCATGCTTGTAGGTGATGATACTTAAATTGCTTATTTTCCATCAAGATACCTCTCCAGATTATGTTTGATCACTCCACCTGAGCAATGAGTGAGCTTGACATACAAAAGAAGGTGGTCAAACAAACCAGACGGCCAGACCAATGCACCCCTCTTGAATTCCTGACCTGTGACTCAGGTTTGAAGTAGACATAAGCACTAGTCTGCCTAGGTCCAGAAACTGAGCACTAAGCACATTAGCAGATTTCTGAGGAGATTGAAAAACCAGGGTCTTGAGCCTATACCAAGAAATACTTTGTATTTTCCTACGAAAAAGGAAGGGAGATGATATGGTGTGCGAGGCTGGTGATAATAGTATGGGTTACGGTCCGAGAACCCTGCAAAAGCCTGGCAGCAACTTTTCAACAGCAGTCCAATTACCATGCAAACAATAGATGACACACCAATCTGTGAGCTGGAAACTCAGAAGCAAAAGAAAGCCAAGTCCTGGGTCACCAGATACAAAACACCCCTGCAGACAAGTGGATTTCTAGGATGAACTGGAATTTCACACTCCTCATATATCAGCAGATGCTCCAGGCTATGAGACACTGAGGATACGCTTATGCTAATATGTTTTCTTGACACTATGTAAGTTACTCTCTTGTGACAATCCTCACTAAAAACACACGTATTCTGTATAAAAAGTTGTGTACGTTGAGTAATTACGTGTAAAGTGTGTTAAAAGAATGAAGTAGTTATAAATCACCAAGTGCAGTGATCCCCGACTTACAGTCCATGGACCAATGCTGACCCACAATGGGGTTCTGAGTTGCCCGCCGACCATTGCACCATAATGCACAATAACAAAAAATAAATTCGCACTGGGAATTTCTTTCGACTTTGAGTGTTAATACCGGGCATAAAAAGGCATCAAAATAAAGCTTGTTATATATGATTATCACTGCCTTTATTTAGCCAGGAAGTGCCATTGAGATTGAAAATCTCTTTTACAACAGAGACCTGCTCAAAGTAGTAGCCAATCAAAACACATTAAAATGCAACAAATACAACATATGATACAAAAATCCACAATAAAACAACATCTATTCAATCATAGTGGCCTCTCAAGAAAAACAAGAACATGTCTCCATCACCAAATTTTTTATGATGCCCCTAAATTCATCAATGGAGGACTGTTCCATGCCCATAGTGCATAGTAGGAACATGCAGTTTTCCCTAAATCTGTTAAAACCCACGGACGGTACATTAAAAAGCAACCACTTGGAGGAGTGTAGCTGGTATCTACCAGAGCTGACACACTCAAGGGTGCAGAGGTAGGCTGGAGGTTTGCCCAATATTGCATATAGATAAAATATACCAGTGCTGTTTTCTGTGAGTAGTCAATGATGACCCAATAAATCACAATAAATTCAGTGATAGGTAAGGAACTTTGCATTTGTAAAAATAAAACGTAGAGATGCATGGCATACTGAATCAAGACTATGTAAAATGGAGGAGGCTGCATGCATAAACAATATGCCACCGTAATCAATCACAGACAGAAAGTAGCTTCCACAAGTTTTTTTTTCTTCGCACTGAAAGTAAAACAAGATTTATTTTTAAAATAAAAGCCCATCTTCACTTTAAGCTTCCTCACTAGAGAGGCAATATGTACATTAAATGAAAGCTTGTCATCCATCCATATACCCACATACTTGTATGAGGGCACCCTGTCAATGGATATACAGTCAGAAGTGATAGTAGGTACTGTGACAACTTCTGCTTCTCAGAGGACAAATAGCCTACTATTTGGCTGGTGCTAATTCCCAACCATGACTGTATGGAACAGGGAAAAACACACTTCATAAAATGTAAGGTGTCGACAGACGTCTTCAGATGCCTTACACCATAGCCTACTGTCTCTACTGTCTCGGCTTGTTAAAATGTGTTTGCATAGCCTATGTTAGGTAATTTATTTACATGCCGAATATATGATTGGTTCGCAATAAATCTTAAATCACAGCATATGTTAATTGTGACCGCGCAGGACATTTATTTTTTTATTGTTAGGAGTCTAATTGTTGCGGCAGCAGGATAAACACTGACGCCGCGCAACAGGTGGTGATAATATGTACAACACGTCCCGCAGGATTCCTGCTGATTATTAATGACGCCCTTACAACTAATAGTAACCCTATGGCTGGGAGTTTCGTTTCTTACGAGACTGAGGTAAATACCAGTGTGGAAGTTAGCGAAAGACGACAAAAACACGGTAAAATGTCAAGAATGTCAACACAAAGGATAGCTGAGTTAAACGGTACTTGCCTGTTACGGTGTGAATGTAATTCCAGTTTGGCAAAAGAAAAGTTGTTGGAAATATAAATTATATTATAACGCCATGTCGGGTGATGTTGCTTTCGGTTGTGATAATTAATAAGTATTTCTGATACTTTCAGGTGAGGAAAAACAAGTGAACAGAGTTCGTCCTGCGCCGGGTGCCTCCATGGTCCGAAACTCTGAGAAGCTCTTCGCTGGCTGCGTTGTTGTCTTTCTGTAAAGTACGACACAAGAAGGGAGGACTTCCGTTTGTGCTTTTCAAAATAAAATGTCTGTCCCTGTAACGCAGTAGCCCACTCCGCGTAAAACTGAATACATGAATTTAAGAGTTGACTTTCGGGTATCTGCTGTTTCCACAACAAATTTCATACCATCTAAACGACACTAACTTATAGATAAAATGGTTTAAATAACTCAGATGACATTTTATGACTATAGCTAAGGGTGAGAATCACCAGGATCCACCATCCTACGATATTGAAGTCATGATATGATATTATTGTGATTTTAAATATGTTGCCATATGCTGAATATTGCGGTATTATTTATATTGTGATTAATTACCTTTTTTTCAACTCTAATTTATGTCCCCAAGGTAAAACTTTGTCAACACCTTTTTTATCTAATAAGATAAAGTTTTCTGTCTGTTCATCTTACTTCCGCAATTTCTTTTTTTTTCAGCAGCAAAATGTATCTAGTAGACTGAAAAAGCAACTGAATACATTATTCTTGATTATTCTTGTAGACTACCTACAGTCCAATTTGTACTGGTCATAATAAAACTGTATATAATAAAAAATAAAGAAAAAATAAATTAAAAAATCAATACGTGGCATTGTGTGACAATATGATATTGCTCCACAAAAATATTGCAGTGCTGTATTTGAGCTGTGTAAGTTGGAAAATAAAAAAAATATTTTCTAAACAGAAAAAGCTTCTGAGTGGTCTGGGTAAAAAGGCTCGTGTTATTTAGATCTGTAACACTTTGTCCGTGCTTTTACAAGTTCCCAAATATTTTCCAAATGGGTTAAGGTTTGAAAGCATTTTTAGAATAAATCACTTCCCAAATGTACCCTGGTCTATTGGCCGACTGATGCAGGTCTGCCATGACACATTTTTCAAAGGATCAAATTCCATGCTTTTAATTTGAAGGCAACACTACACAACTTCCGCAGGTTTTCTCCCTCTAACTGTCTCGCTTGGTGTCGCTGCCTCCTTCCCCCCACAGCACTGCGAAGGAACAACAACACACTGCATTTACTTTCATATCACGTGTCCCGACTGGGAAAATGTTACAGGTCCCTCCATAAAGCCGGAGGCTTTACCAAATCACAACATATTTAGATGCCCTTTCAAAAAATGACTCCAGCCGATACACAATCACTCTTAGAATAAGGCCATATATATTTTCACCGTAATAATGACAAAGCAACAAACCTAAACAATCTTATTTATTTTAAAAGCTAGCATTATTATCAGAAATTGGAAGAGGAACAGAACAAGAAAAAAATCACACTTGTAGAAAATGTAATTGTGTAGAAGAAAAGCATAGCGCAGTAGTAATGTAAAATTAGTTTAATCAGAGTGGGACTGCATTTAGCTTGATCCCTGTCATGCTGCTCCCTGAGATGTCATTACACTTCAAAGCCAGTTTACACTATGTTAGTAGGTTATTTATTATTCTGAGTATTAATGTGGAGTTGTTATTAGGACTAACTGTGACCATATGCACGTGACACTTTTAGCACTGAAGTGTCAGAGATTTGTACACAAGTTTCTCGACAAATACAAAACTTCCTGCATTCATGACACTCATGTCTCTGTAGACATTTTGATCTGGGGCAGGTAAACAATGGCTCCATTCATTTAAATGTATTCATTTAGTGTACACTTATGTCGATAGCGACCTACAAATGAGGTACAATCCAAATGATTCAAAGGAATAAAAAGCTATGACTGTCCCAGCTTACTCAGTGTAGAGATACATAGTGTGGGCTGGCAGTCTAAAAGGGCATCTAAGGCACTCTGATCACGGTTTAAAAATCCCTTATTCACTTATGGATGGACCTGCACATTCTGACTTTAGACACTTTTCAAGTCCTTGGTGCCTCCTTAGAGGTTTTCCAGGCACGTCCAACTGCTGGAGGCCCCGGGGCTGACCCAGAACACCATGGAGGTCTCATTTGGCCTGGGAATGCCGTGGGATCCCCCAGGATAGGGGTATGCAACCAGCGGCTCTGGAGCCACATTCAGTTCTTTGGCCCCTCTCCAGGGGCTCTCATAAAATCATATGGGAATTAATAACAAAATTTTTCAAACTATTTCAATTTTCATTTATCAATGCCGTAGGCCTAAAGTGATTCTTACATTCTCCACTTGTAAAACTGTGTGGTCTATAGACCGAATTAAAAAAAGTTTTGAAACAACATTTTGGACACTAAAATATGCATCAATTGTCCTCAGCCCAGCGCCTTTTCCTCTACATTTTGCCAAATCTAACTGGTTCATGCTCGAGTCCAGGTCGAAGTTTGTGCCAAATTTAAGGAAATTCCCTCTGGGTGATTTTGAGCTTTTAGGTGTCCAAGAATAAAATGGACAGACAATCCCAAAAACACTGTCACCAGCCACAGCTGTCACCACTGGCATGGAGAAATAAAAATCACACAGACACACATTTCATTTAGTTTAGCTTGGTTTATACTTGAAAACACATACACAGAACCAGCTGAGTTTCCTTCACCCTGGGATTAAGAATAGTGTGTACCTTTACTGCAGCTAAAAACAACTGTTTTGTCACCTGAATTAATAGCAAGAATATTAGAACTGAAGCACATCATAAAGACATATATTTTACAAGGTTACCATACTTAGATTACAAAAACTAACCAAATAACTGAAACAACAGTCTAGTTTCTATTTACATCCTTTAACCCCATATGCTGTCACTGTCATCTATATGTGCTGTTGGGCTGCTTCGGGGAAAACAATTTAAATTTAGACCTTAAACCAGATTTCTTAATCAAAGATTAGGTCGATCCTGAGTGTTTTACTTTGTCTTTCCTATTCAACTCATGTATTCCCGGCTTATATACAGAGAAGCCTTGTTATAACTGTATGTGCTTATGACATCTGCTTTCTTCTTCAAACCTACTAAATTCCAGCAGCTTCTAGTAATTCAACCTACAAGTTACTGTTAAAAGCTGTTAAACAAACACCTCAAAACTGAGCATGTGATAAGCTAGTTGTTTCATGCATTCCTAAATGGTATAAATATTACATCAATCATTACTCTGCAGGAAGACCTCTCCACTGTGTAATTATATGAATAAAATACATCTCATAATACATTTTCTTTAGTAAGCGAGTCATTATTCACATCTTAATGACAAAGGCAGGCTCTGAATATGAGCTTTTGCAGCACAATGTGCCTGGAGGTCTTCAGGACTGATTCCACCACAGAGTACATATTTCCATCTTCCATTAGTGCTGCAAGGTTATTAAAAACGGATTGTACCTTTCCTGAACTCTTTGCAATCACTCATGTAATCAATGTTACAACAAAGTGTCAGAGAATATATATCACCTACTCATCACTAGAAGCACTTTTTACCTGTGTAGCTGGAGGCATAACCAAATGAGACACAAGAACATGTGGAAAAGGTCTTTTCTGGGAAACATCATCATCATCATCCATTTACCAAAATATGCAAACTGTATAAGATGTTACTGTTTCATTTTAAGGCAGGACATGATAAGGTTGACAGAAAATAACCTTTAACCTCTTTAAGACAAATGCTTTGATTTTATCACCCTCTACAGTATAACCTGTGAACATCCACTGTACAAAGTCTCACATAACCTCAGTAGACTATTAACGCTGCATTAGGCAATAAAAGAGGAGAAAAATAATTGGTAGAAAAAAAATCATACAATCGATGGTTTGATTCTATGACATCCTCCTATAAACAATGGGCTCTGTGCGTCAGTAGTGCAGCTGACGCACAGAGCCCATTGTGACTGATGGCACAGACCAATAAAATGTTTGTATTTTTAAGTGAAAGGCACACCATTGTCAGATTTAGTTTCTCTAACACAGCTCACTGAAATAGACAAAGTATCTTGTCATTAATTTACAGTGCACAGGTTCTTTAAGAAATTGCAATATTGGTGTCATAACAGCCATCTTTTCATATACAGTGTTTTTTTTACATGTAGATATTTACCAGTGGATATAATTTCCAAGTGGAAACCCTAATGTTTATCTATCTTGTGATACCTAGTAAGAGAGATAAATGTCAGTTTGTGCAACTTTGAGTAAAACTGTCTTTTTCCTCTGAATCTGGAAACTCAACAGGAGGTTTGTAGCAGCGACGGCCGGTCCCTCCCTGCCTGAATGGAGCAAACCGCAGCCATTTCTTCACCACATCAGCGTACTGGTGATGTGTGGCCTCCTTACCCACCGGTGTTCGTTTCAGAGCACCTATGAGTGGAAGCAAGAGATTACCCTTTGGACACTGTGGTTTTATTTATTTATCATCCTTGTAGACCATTTTACTCAGGGTATATGCAGGAATCCTGAGGTTAATTTCAATACCTTTTTAAGACTTTTTTAAGACCTTCCAAAAAAAACTTAAGACCTCATTGCCACTTCAGGCTGTCATTAGCAGCAACACATCTTTAACTTACTAAACAGTTGTAGTTTGCAATTAAATCTATGGAACACAAACATACAACAGAACTCAGATAAGATGAGAAGGAATAAAGCTTGAAAGAATACATTAAACCAAAGGCAGGTTTATTAAAGTACACCTTAGGTCATAACAAGTAACACAGCTCTACAGCTCAACATCAGCTATTCAAGGCCAACTTGCTGAAAACAACAACCTTATGGCTAGCCCCTTGCATGTGGGATTTAGGGCTGACCCAAAAATCTGAAGCTTCAAAGCTTCATTTTGATTGTGAAGAAAAAAAAATCCAATATTCTGCCTTTTTTGGGGGGACCTTGAACGCAACACTAATCATGCCGTCCGTTTACGGTTGTTTTTTTCCCCTTTAGCCGTATGTAAACT